TGTCTTCCCCAAAATTCTTTTTTCCCATTGAGATCGCCACCACCACCAAACTCTCGGCACCACCTCCGAGAATCATATTTTCACACCGTCGCCGCCGCTCCTTCCTTCCACCACCCGGCTCTTCCGCTCTTCTCGCCCCTACACCGCCAACGTCTTCTTGCCAGTTCCACACCAGCCGATTCTTCTCTTGCAAGTTCTGGAATCTTAGCAAGCCTAGCAAAATTACTAAACTCCAGCCAAAGCTCTAATCGCCACCACCGCCAAAGCCCTAATCGCCGCCATCGTCGGAGAAGACGATAAAAAGTAGAAAACAAAAATTAATTAGAAAATTAAAAAGAAAGGAGAAATGGGAATAGTGGAAGGGCAAGTTCTGTATTAGAAAGAATGTGAAAAGAGTGTTGATTTAACTTAAGGGTTTCTATGAATAAGTGTGATCAACCATCTTTATTATTTTAGGTTCACGGGTTATATCTATTTCACCAATAAGTCCATCCCTTTAATATATATTATAAATAAAAGAAAAATTAATGTATATGACAAAATTACCTTCAACCCTTTAAATCCAATTCTTAATTGTAACCCAATTTAACTTCAATTTAATCAATTTCGACCATAAAAATTCAATTTTGGCTTTTTCTTGTTTTAAACTTTTTTTTTCTGAACTCTTTTTTTTACTGCCGGTTTTCAGCATTAACTTATTAATTTATTATTATTTTTATTTTTATTTTATTTTTTGTTTTTTTTTCCGCCGCCAGTTTCCGACGTTGACTTTTTTAAAAAAAATTCTCTAAAATTTTTGTTACGTCTGCCGTTCAACGTTGACCGTAATTATACTGTCATTAACATTAATTATACTGTCGCTGACAGTAATTGTACTGTTGTTGACTACTTACGTAAGTGTATTGTCGTTAACAGTACATTTACGTAATTGTACTGGCAATGACAGTACAATTATTATCAACTATAACAATATTATTATTTTGTTGGCTTTTTTTTTTTTTTTTTTTTTAGTTTTTCTGATTTATTGACAAGTCAACGAAATTATATTATTATCATTGAAGGTAAAATTATTGTAAAACAATAATATTACTGTCAACCACATCAATATTTTTTTTTTTTTTTTTTGCCTTTTTGTTTTGTTTCATTTGTTGACTGAATAACGTAATAATATTACTATAAACACAATAATATTATTGTGGTTGACAGTAATATTATTGTCATAACATTTATATTATTGTCAACCATATTAATATTAATTTTATTGGCTTTTTATTATGTTTGCCTTTGTTAAACGATAAACATATTAATATTACTATATTGCACAATAATAGTAATTTTTGTTGTGTTAATATTACTGTGCTATAGAGTAGTATAACTATATTAATGTGTTAAACTGTACTATAGCTAATATATTACTGTGTTAAACAGTAATATAGTTAATATTACTGTGTTAAACGTTAATATAGTTAATATGACGGTCAACCACAACAATATTACTGTTTAAACGTGCAAACAGATGTTGAAGAAAAAAAATTAAAAAAGAAAAAAAAGTCAACGACACCGGAGATCGGCGTTGACTGGTCAGCGGCACCAGAAAGAAGAAAAAAAAAATCGAAAAAGTCAACGCCAGAGACCAGTGGAAAAAGCAAAAGAAAAAAAAAAATCAACGTCGGAGACCAGCAGTCAACGACGGCGACAGGTGAAACTACTCAAAATTGAGTTTTGGATAAAATTGAATAATTTGTGAAATTTGAGGTGAAATTGAGGTTAAATTGAATTAAATAATGAAATTCGAGCATATTAAAATGTGAAGGGTATTTTAGTTTTTTACACACCTCTTGATAGTGTCTGGACTTTTTGTAAAAGAGTTTTTTGTCTGGACCCCTTTATGAATAAGTATCACATGATGGACTTATTTGTAATGTGACCTTAATTATGAATAAGACCGTGTCCAACAATCTTTATTATTCTAGGTTCAGGGGTTATATCTCTTCCGTCAATAAGTATCCATTTATTAATAAATAAGGGGCTATTTGACAAAACCTCCTCATTGAATTTTTAACTTCATGATAAATCCATTTTTATTAATTGATATTTTTAATAAATCCAACTGACTCGAATTATCCAAAATACCCTCATTTAATATTAATGAAAGTTACCATATGATATTATCATAGAAAATTAATTAGTTTTTATAAATATGCAAATCCCTTTAATATATCCTCGTGTCACGCTATTTCAGTTTCTATTTTTTCTTTTCTTTTGTATTTTTTTAAAGGATTTTCTTTATTTTAATTTTAAACCAAAAAAAGTTATTTTTTAATTTAGTTTTATTTTCAGTGTTTTCTTTTAAATTATTTTTTTCTTACTTATATTTTTCATGTTTTTCATTTTGATTTTTAAATTGTATTTTCATGTTTTAATGTTTTTTTTTCTTCTTAATTTTAATTTTTTTAAATGGTATTTTTGATTTTTTTTTCCAGTTTTTTTGATTTAAAAAATGTTTTGTTTAATTATTTTTTTATTAATTTTATTTTATTTCGATAAAATTTTTTTTTTTTTAATATTTGAAAAAAAAATCAACAGGTTTATCAAAGTGGAATACACTATACACTTATCAAAATCTGCTATAAATTTGTTGAAAACCACCAAAAATTTATCGAAACTCACTACAAACTAGACGAAATCCACTATAAATTTGTTGAAAACCACTATAAATTTATCGAAACCCACTACGAACATGTCGAAATCCAATATAAACTTATCGAAATCCACTATAAATTTGTTGAAATCCACTACAAATTTATCGAAATCCACTATAAATTTATCGAAATTCACTACAAATTAGTCGAAATCCGTGTATATTGGATTCCACTTTGATAAACATGCATGATTTTTTTTATATATTAAAAAATAAATTAATTTTTAATCGAAATATAGAAGGAATTAACAAAAAATAATTAAACAAATCATTTTTTATGCAAAAAACTGGAAAAAAATTAAGAAAATCGAAATTAAGAAAAAAAAAACCATTAAAAACAAAAAATAAACATAAGACCATTTTTGTTAAATCAAGATGAAAAATATAAATAAGTTAAAAATAATTTAAAATAAAAATTGAAAATAAAAATAAATAAATAATTAAAAAATTAAAAAATAATCAATTTATCGAAATAATGAAAACCATTAAAAAATCAAAAAGAAAAAGGAAAAACAGAAATTGACTTGAGACATGGAAAAATGGGGATTTGCATATGTACAAAAAAAAATAATAATTGATTTTCCATAATTATGATATAATGGTATAATAGTGAAACTTAATTATTTTTTATTAATTAAAAATATTTTGGACTTACCTTAAAACTATGATTTTGTTTTTCCTATAAATAAAGGAAAAATTCAATTTTGACTTTTTCCTTTTTTTAAACTATTTTTTACTGCCGTTTTTCGGCGTTGATTTTTTTTTTATGTCTGTTTTTCCCGCCGCTGTTTTCAGCGTTGATTTTTTATTTATTTATTTATTTTTATTTAATTTTCCGCCGCCAGTCTACGGGGGTGACTTTTTAAATTATTTTTTTCCCCTAAAAAAATATCATTTTTTTACGTTCGCCGCTAAACGTTGACCATAATTGTACTGTTATTAACAGTAATTATACAATCGATGCTGACAGTACAATTACTGTCAACCACAATAATATTATTGTTTTTTTGGCTTTCTTTGATTTTGTTTTATTTGTTGACGTTGACGGTAAAATTACTGTAAACACAATAATATTAATATCAACCACATCAATATTATTTTTTTTGGAATTGTTGTTTTGTTTGACTTGTTGACCGATTAACGTAATAATATTATTGTCTACTATTGTTTACTATAAACACAATAATATTATTGTGGATGACATCAATATTACTGTTAACCACATCAATATTAATTCTTCTTGTTTTTTATTATATTTGTCTTTATTGAACGGTCAACATATTAATATTACACTATTACACGATAATAGTGATTTTTATTGTGTTAATATTATTGTGCTAGAGAATAATATAGTAATATTACTTTGTTAAACAGTAATATAGTTAATATTAATGTGTTAAATGATAATACTATTTTTTTATTATGGTCAACCACAGTAATATTACTGTTTAAACAGGCAAATAGATGTTGAAGAAAAACAATCAAAAAAAAGGCGTCGGAGACCGGCGTTGACTCCCGGTTAGTAACGGCAGAAAGAAGAAGAAAAAAAATCAAAGAAGTCAACGTCAGAGACCAGCGTTGACCAATGGTCAACGCCGAAAACCGACGGAAGAATTTGGAGAAAAAAGAAAGAGTCAATCCCGGAGAGCGGCGGTAAAAATTGCTCAAAATTGAGTTTTGAGCCAAAATTGAATAATTTGTGAAATTTAGGATTAAGTTAAAGTTCAATTGAATTAAATGACAAAATTGGAGCATATTAAACTATGTCGTCTAGACTCGTTTCAAAATTATGCTAATTAGTTGGTATCTTTCTTGTTAAATTATTTTGATTTTGATGGAAATAGGCAAGATGCAACAAGTAAATGAGTTTAGGAAAAGTCGTGGAAAAGTATTTTGTTTGCATAGCAATGAAAAAACGACATAGTTGAGGGGGCAAAATGTTTTTCTACCCTAAATACTACCGTAAGCATAATAACCAAAAAAAAAAAATTATAAGTACTAGAGTGAAGCGGTTATGGTACACCAGTTTTTGAGACCCATAAAACATACATAAATAAAAAAATAACTATGGGCACTATTTTTGAAGCCAAATTTCACAGACATATACCGCGCGTGGCCTCCCAATAGCTTCAAAATTAAGCTTTAAATAAATCATGCAATCTTGGTTTTATTTTCTCCTCCTTTGTTTTTATTCTTTTGATTCCTGGTTTCCCCTTCTATAGTTTTCTTTTGCTTCACAGTTTTGCCTTTGTTATTTGGATACATCAGGTATATTTGTGCTGCTCCCACTCCACAGCCAACTCCATTTAATAGCTGGAGAATGAACGAACATATTTAGTCGACGGACATTTAAGAAACAAATCTGAAAATCAAACGAGTTGCAATATTTATTATACTTACAACAATAAAAAAGTCTTGTCTAAGTAAGCCAAAGACAAACCAGAATGCCCCGTTCAACAACATCAAGATCGACGTGTAGAATGACATGAATTCCACCTCTTTTCTTTGGATCACCAAAAACTACAGTTTTTTTCGTCAAAAAATCACCAACTAATTAAGAAATGTCATCACTCAATAAAAATAATTGCAAATACCAT